CCGACTTTGAGGCAGGGCTTCGGCGCCAGGCTGGAGACCGGGAGCCCCACCCCCGCCCTCGGCCCTAGGGAGAAGGCACCGGGAGCCAGAGACGCCGCCTCCACGAACACCGCGGGGACTGCTCCAGGGGGCTGCCAGGAGACTTGCACAAAACAATTCTTTGGAAGTGCGTGTTGTTTAGTGTCAGGTCGTAAAGAGAAGCCTGCAAAGGGCAGAAAAAAGAAGCACAACCCACTGCAGCAGCACCTTTATTGAAACTAAGCTTTCCCATCCCGGGGGCCGGTACAGTTTTGCATCTTTTTGGACATACATGAAATGTTTAAGTTAAAAAAAAGTTTGTGAAGAAGGGGAAAGACGGTCCATAAGTCCAGGGAGACCTGTCTCATCAGGAGCTGCGGCATTTCACAGGCTCTTCTGCAGACAGTTCGCCCCCCGCCAGCTCCTCCCCAGACATCGGCAGGTGGGGGAGCGACCAGGTGAGGCCACCAAGAGTTCCTCTGGGGGCAGAGCTGTCTGCTGCCAGGGCACCAGGCAAGCTGTGGCGGCAAGGAGGCTCCCCAGAGCCAGAAAGCGGCACGCTGGAGGGGCAGCTGTGTGCAGGAGTCTCGGAAGCAGCCTGCGCAGCCGTGACCTTCTGGAGGTAGAAAACCACTCCGTAGCTGTTCATGGTTGGCCCCAACAAGATCTGCCCAAGTGCAGAGTTCATCTGACTGAAGTCTACCTGTCCCAAGAGAGAGTTCAAAATGGGCGACGTGTGAATCCGGGTCAAGTTCACAGCAGGCCTCTTAGCCATGGGCGCTGGCTCTCCCCGCCAAGTGCCAGCTTTGTGGTCTTGTAAGGAAGAGAGGTCCAAGAAAGGGCTCAGCACAGCATCGTGGATGGGCACGCTCCTCATTCCCATGGTCTGGTCTTCTACATAGTGCGACTGGGGGGGGGGGGAGGAAAATCAAGCCAACTGCAAGGACAACAGGCCCAAAGCCATCCTTCAACAGGATGCAAGTTCTGTTCCCTCGGGAGGACATGGAACACCGGCTAAACATCCCTCCTGGAGACTCCGCTCCTGAAGGTTTATCCGTTGGCAATGTTCATGAATCTAACTTCTGTTTCCTTACACCTTCTTTTCTATGTCAAGAACTGTCAGTGGGGATTGAGCCCCTTATAATCACAACCATTCACGCAGGTTTCCTCAACATGGCTTCCTCCAGAGGTGTCAGACCACAATGCCCATCTCTCTGAGAAAGCACAGGACGCAGTTCAAGGGTCCAGTGCATCCAAAGAGAGCCAGTGCGGGACAATACAAGGGCAAAATGTCCACAGTTGTATCAACTTTTTGGAACCGACAGGCCAGGAACACCATTGTCCAGGATCACCTGATTTAACAGGGGAAGCATTATTAACCCTGTGGATTCTTAGACCAGACAGACCAGTGAGAGAATCCAAGGAAAACCAGACAGGCGTGCCAACTGGGGAAACACACACGGGCCCCACCCTTGCCAGTTCCGGGAGGGAAAGGAAGAACAAATAAAAGCCCCCCTTTACAGAAATGGGAGCACATCCTAGAGAAAGCTGGGCCATGCCCTGCAACCCCTACAGGTTAAGCGTGTGTTTATGTACATATAATAATTTCAACGGGTTATGTATAGCATCCAGCTGGTAAAGCAGAATGAGGCGATCTTGACACTCACCTCTGCTGCCAAACATGCCTTCCTGGCTGACACACCGCAGCTGGCCTGTGAGTCCTTCAAGGGGATGTGAGGGAACCAGATTTTGAGCATTTTTTCCACCTGCAACAGGATGCCCAAGTATCGCTCCCTGCAAGCCAAAGGGAGATCCAGCTGAAGGGGTACATACGTGTAGCACAGGCACCGTAATGGAGCCAACAGATTCTTCTGCTAGCAAGAAACATCTACAAAACATGCACACTGAGCTACAGCACTGCTTTTAAAGACTCTTTCCTTGAAGAATCTGAAAGAGACCAGAGGGGGACCCGCCAGAAGTTTTTTATGACAGAGTGAGCCTGAGAAAGCACAACAGCACTGGCTAGGAAATCCTTCTACATCCTTTGCACCAAGCAAATGACCTGGAAGGGTCAAGACTCTTACCCCATCTGTGGCTTCTGAAGGACACCAATGATCCGCTGGATCCGATCCATAGCCACGCTCTGCTGGAAACTGCTTAGACCTGGAAGTCCAAAACAGGACGATCAATAAACACAGTTAGTACAACCGTGACTGAAACTGTGGAAACACCTTGCTGGAGTAGAACAACTGCTGATCTCACTGCAGCAGCAGTTCTTGGGAAGACCATGAAGCAGGGTATCAAACCAATGGCCCACTGCCAGCTGCCTAGAATCAGACTGCAGCGGTGTAAATAGGTGTGAGGTACAGCCAAGAACCTCCTACTCATCCAATCTCTGACTTGTCCCTATTAATTCCAACTCCAACCTGCCTATGAAGGGGACTGTGATGCGGGGGGGGGGCAAGAAAAGCAAGGGGGAAAAATGGTGAAAAAAACAATTGGGAAACATGGAGGTACTTCTTCAAGAAGAGACCACTTCAATACGAACCACCCATTTTAAAAGCCACCCAAGGTAGAGATCAGCTCTGGTTGTAAAATGGGTTGCCTGAGGGATAAGCGTTCGCTCTCCAACACAACCCGGCTGCTACACAATTCAACGCGGAGCCTCCTGAACTCCAGTGGTATGGATTCCCCGTGTTCCCCATGACAGCTTCTCTAATGAAGGACTGGCTATAATGGCTGTCTGGGAATATTGGAACCACAGCTTCCAGATCGCACATCTCCGCGGCATCAAACAGGGCTCTCCTGGGCACCCAGAGAGCAATTCCAGATGGAGGAAATGAGAGGGTGCATCCAATGCTTAGCTAACAGAAGCATACCTTTGTGCACTTGTGCTTCTCTCTCACACACGCTCACATGCTTGTACAAAACAACCCAGCTTAGCATGCAAGGAGAGATTAATGTTGCCCAGAAATGGGAAGAGAGGAACAGCATGGCCCAGACGCACGTCCCGCTCCCCTCCACTCAGAGAACAAAAGCCAGCCACTGCTGTCAGTTTTGCACCCAGACACAGAGTTGCTCTTTTGCCGAGACAGTCCATTGCAGGATTCTTCCCTGCTAGATGGGGAAAGCATTAAGTAAACGAGCCCCTCGGTTCTGCTCCATTGGACAGAGCAGCCTCGGCAATGGTTTTAAAAATCTTCTGTGACAGCAACTCACCATAAGCCTCAAAGCAAACCGTGAAATGAAAGCCTCCCTCCCATCTGGCCCCCTCCACTCCCATCAAGACACCCAAACAAGTGCCGCTGCTGAGCTTCTGACCTTGGTCAAAGCGGCCCATTTTCAGGCGATCCAGAAGCTGCGACAGGGGGCGGACAAAGCCTTGGAGTTCCCAGCACTGCAGAAATGGAGCACAAAAGAGTGTGAAGCGTGAAAAGCTGTACACCAAGAACTGAAAACAATTCTGGGGGAAGAGAGAAAAATCTGGGAACAAATGGAAGACTCCAACTGATCTTTACTTCCGAATCTCGCTCAGCACACTTTCCTTCAAGCCAGCGCAGGCTGAGCCATCGTCTACATAAACAGGGCCAGGCAGGCAACGAGATGCCCATTCGTCTGGGGCAGGCACACTCGCAGGACAGAAGACTTGGGAGTGGGTGAACTCCATCTTGGCCGCCAAGACCAGCAGGTTGAGCCGGAACAGCCGCTCTACCAGCGGAGCACAGGCTCAACTGCTCCCATAAGGATTCGGAGCCCCCGCTCTAAACTGCCTTCAAGGTCCTAATGGCTGACTGAATTCACAAACACAGCTCTGTCACCTCCACCATTTTGCCTAATGAAAATGCTCCTCTCTACAGCGTGGTGGTGGTGTATTACTCACCACATCCCGCAGTGGAGGGCCCCTCAAGACTGGCCCTCCTGAGCCCTGGGCCTCCCCTTGAGCTCTCAGAAAGCACCGCCAGAACTGGAGCTTCCTTGGTGTGACTGTTTTCACTGAGATAGCTCTCTCAATCCCCAAGTGGGCCAACTTCTCTGGCTGCCAGTGGACTCACCTTTTGTGCAAAGACTTGGTCCCCTTCCGTCCAGCAGGGAGAGCGCAAGGTCTCTTCAGCTGCTATTTCCTTCTTCCGTTGCCTCTTCATCCCATGGGGTGACAGTGCCTTGGGACACGGAAGGGGCTGGCCACCTCCCGTGGCACTGCTCTGACACTTGTAGCCGCCACTGCTCTCGGCCCTCTTTTGGCTCACCCTCTGCCCAGGCAGGCTTCCGCTTGGACTGACCAGGCGGCCACGGAATGTCTCCCCGGGAACCTCTAGGTAACAGCGGCAGCCGGGGCCAGGTGGTTGCGGTCTGGCTGAGGGTAGTGGGCCGAGGGGCTTCCTGACCCAGCGCTTGCGGCCCTGGCCATGCAAACCGGGCAAGACAAGGAATCCTGGACCATTTAGGCAACGGTGCCTTGGCAGCCTCGCCTCCTTCCTCACATCACTCCCATCATCGAGAAGGAAAACTCTGAAGTTCCCCTCTGGCGGCGGCAGCCGCTGCTCTTCCTCATCCTCCTCGCTGGTGGCGCTCTCCACTGAATATGAAGACTCTCGGGAAGAGACCCTCCTGGTATCCATGGTGGCCACAGATTATTTCAATCGCTAAAAGAAAGGGAGAGAAACATCAATCTGGTTTCCCTCCTCAGACACGGAAACGCAGCTGCTTTGCACGACACGTTTAGCTGTTTCCGCAAGAGAAGCATTCCAGCATCCTAACTCGGGTAACTGGAAGACAGAATCCTGGCTCCATCTTCCACAAGTTTGTATTCCTTGTATTGCAAGCCTGGGAAGAATGCATTCCCTGACAGATCTGCCATTGGGTGGGGGCAATGGGAGACAGGCACATCAGCCCATCACCCACCGCCATCACATCAGGCTTTCTATGTACTCCTCCAGGCCAATGGAGATCTCTCACGTGAGCAACATCCTCTCCAGGGAGGCTTGCCTCATGCCAAGAGCCCATTCTCAGCAGTGCTTTATCTTCTCATAAGCGTGCGCAGGGCCCTAGGGGCCGTACTTGCAGGGCGTGGTGCCGTGATCACTCTGCTAGGCCCCTGCAGATTTTAATGCAGACGTTCATTGCAGTATTTGCTTCATGATGCTAGGAAGGCATCATGCACGTTTTTAAACAGAAGGTCAGCATCACTCACTTTAAAATACAATGAACCCATTACATAAAATCACCACCACCACTCTGAAGGCTAGCAACGTGCTTCAAGCAATTCTCAGAAATAAGGCTTCCGCTCCCATATATAATGCAATTTAAGTTAAGGATTAACAACTTTTTTGGAAGCACACGGTGGGGCATTTATGAAATGAGGGGCTTTGCAAAAAGGAAGAAGAAAGCATTTTCGATCAGAGCTGTTGGCGGGACATCATGGAAGCTGTAGTCCAACATATCTGGCAGTGGGGCCTCTTCCCCTTCACTGGAGCAGGAAGCCCTCCCCTTCCCAACTTCCTGGCCTGCCCAGATCCCACCATCCGATCCCACCATCCGTGCTGGCGAGGGGCCTCCAGAACGTGGTGCAGATTCTGAGCCTGTCCAGGGCGCACGCCCAGTGAAAGGCTGCCCTTCTCTGTCTCCAGGAAATTAGGAGGAATCAGCCAGAGGGGCCAGCCTGCAGCCAGCAGACCGGACCTGCAGGAGAGCAAGTCCCAGGCTCCCTCCCCCCCAGCAGGGCTCCCCAGCCGCATCTGGCAGCCAGGCACACCCGCTCCCCACGCCGATTTTGGATGGGGGCTCCTGCTAATCACCTCGTCCCACCAGATGCTGGGGCCTGCCCTGCCTGGCAGAAGCGCCAGGCGTTCCTAGCCATCGACCTGGGTCAAGGGGCGAATCCGCTGCACCCCTCCCCATCTTCTCTCCTGAGGCTGCAGAGTTCCAGCACTGAGGAAGGGTGGGCGGGCGGCGCCCCCTCTTCCCTTCAGCAACAGCTACGCCTCATCTGACGCGCAGAAGCCAGCGCCTTGCCCCCTCTCGCCCCCCTTCTGC